TCACAATGCATAAAAGACGGATTCGACCTGGTTTTACCTTGGTCGAGCTCTTAGTCGTGATCGCCATCATTGGCGTCTTGATTGCCCTGTTGTTACCAGCGGTTCAGCAAGCTCGCGAGGCGGCTCGGCGTAGTGAGTGCTCGAACAACTTGAAGCAGATCGGCCTTGCCGCGCACATGTTCCACGACACCTACACGAAGATGCCGCCGCTGGTGAACTGCCAGCAAGGATACAGCGTGTGGGTTCACCTGATGCCGTTCGCCGAACAGAACGCCCAGTACGAACTGTTGCACTCGGTAAATACCGATAACTGAAAGGACACGATCTTCGAGAACTTCACGCAACAAGAGAAAGAAGGGATCAGTTCGATCTCGTATATGACTTGCCCTTCGCGTCGCAGTGGCGTGCAGATGAAAGGGGATGGCGGTCAGCAAGGGCCTTGGAGCGACTATAGCGCCGTCGGCTACGACTCTTCGAACCCTGTCTTCAACTTCTATTACAACCCCAACGACAGCTCGCACGTTAACGAAACGATGAGCATGCTTCGCGTCGGTATTCCCGTCAATGGCGGCGACAATAACCCATGTGGCGATGCTCGTCCGCGCGATTCGTTCTCGCGTGTCACCGACGGCCTGAGCAACACGCTCATGTTCGGCGAGAAGGGTATCGGCAAAGATCAACTTGGTGTTTGCTGTGGCGAAACCGGGGCCGACGGTTCGTTTCTGTATACCTCCGACAGCTGGCGTGAGTTTGCTGTGGCAAGTTCGATTCGTCTTCGCTTGGGACGCGGACCGAACGACAACGCACGACCAGACAGTGGACAGGGGCACGGCAGTTGGCACCCTGGCATCACCCAGTTTGTGCTTGGCGATGGTTCGGTGCGACCGATCTCGACAAACATCTCGCAAAGCACGCTCGAGAACCTGGGCAACGCGATGGATGGCAATGTCATTGGCGAATTTTAAGCCGACCGACATTCGCCCAGGGCGACGACGATCCGAAGCATGATTCTCGTCGCCTGCACCTCCTGCAACCTCTCAACAAAAAGCAATCCCATGCCACGAATCGTATCGATACTCTCCTGTTTGTTACTGCTTGGCGCGGCCATCGGCTGTTCCCAACAAACCGAGAACGCCGTCTATGGAACGATCCATTACGACGACGGAACGCCTCTCAGCCAAGGCGAGTTGATCTTTGATGATGGGTCGTACTCAGACATTGCTCCGATCGATAGCGAAGGCAATTTTGCCGTCGAGAAAGGACTGCCGGCTGGGACCTACAAGATCACGCTCGGAGGTGTGTTAGAGCCAGACGCTACCGGCAACTACGCTCCGATCGTCCATAAGCGTTATTTGGATTATCGATCGACCGATTTGAGTATTCAGGTTCCCATGACTACCGAGGGCACCGAGGTCGTAATTGATCGACCGAAGAAGTAACAGCTTGCTCAAACCTACCTGCGAGTGACGTTCGATTTGTCGCTCGCTTCCCCACAATGCGTGCCAAGGGCATGCAAATCTCCCTTGCCTCAAAAACTTCACGATATTGCCGGGAATTTCCCTAGTTGATATCCCGAGATTTTATATAAATAAGTATTGGAAACGCAACGTTTGTGAGATTTTTTACTTTCGCGTTTCCCACCCCTTTTCCCTTAGCTGATGCGCCCTGCTGCCCACTCCGTCATGCGCATTCGCGACTTCATTTCTCATTCGTACGGACAAAATTATGGCTCTGAAACGAAATGCATCGGGTTTTACCCTGGTGGAATTGTTGGTGGTGATTGCCATCATCGGTGTCTTGATCGCTTTATTGTTGCCGGCTGTGCAACAGGCCCGTGAAGCAGCTCGCCGAATCCAGTGCACCAACAATATCAAGCAAGTTGGCTTGGCGATGCACAACTACCACGACACGTTCCTCAGCTTTCCGATTACCTACCAAAACGACTCGGCGAACTGGACCGTTGCGATCTTGGCGATGATGGAACATGGCAACCTACAGGAACGCTACGACTACGATCTCGATTGGGACGAAGGAACCAATTTGGATCTGGCCGCAGAAATGCCAGAAGCATTCGTCTGCCCTTCCAATCCATCGGCTGGCAACGTGCTCAGTGGCAACGGTTTTGAAACGACCGACTATTCGGTCCTGCGAAATGCGTCGAACTGGGAGTTCACCAACTCGCTGTTTCAATCGTCTGGCCCTTACAAGATGCGTGATATTACCGACGGCACCAGCAACACCTGTATGACCTACGAGTCGGCAGGACGCGCGGATTGGTGGGTGGAAGGGAAACGTAACCCTGGCCAAAGTGGTTACACACATTCGTACGGCACCACTCGCGATGGTTGGACATCCCGCAGCAACGCCGGCTGGATGTTTACCTGCGAAGTCGACATGAATGCCGCCGGCAATGACATGACTGCCGTCTATTGGTCAACTGGCAAT